AGGAATGGTGAGTCTTGGGCATGGAATACTGGAACTCCATTAACTTTTATAAAACCTACATTACCTCCCCTAGTTAAAATATCAAAACAAAACACAACAGAACAGCTTTGTGCCTTTTTCTCAAACATCATGGGTACCTGGTTGCTTTTCTTTAAATCTATAGCCTGAAAATGTCTCTCTGTTTACTGCTGCTTTATTGTCAGTTCATTAGAGTACAGGTTGCTGTCTTTCTGTAGACTTCTGTGGCATGATGATGGGATTTTTTTCTTCTATAGGATTAGCAAAACTGGTTTTCATCATTTACAAAAGTTTGGGACGTTTTCTCAGTACGGAAAATGCAACCATAAAGTTAGGCAGCGACTTTGCTGGGCGGAATAGCACTATCGCAGTCAACTCCCACGTCATTGCAGCCTCTATCAACAAGGAGTCTAGCCGGGTGTACCTGACTGATCCTGTGCATTTTACGCTGGAACACATTGATGTGAGTTATGCTAATGAATTAATGGGAAGGTCATAAAATCAGCAAGAGAGAAAAGCAATGCAGAAAAGTAACGTTTTTTCCATTTGAATTTTAAATGTTGGACTAGGTCAGAGACACAAGCTTAGTTAAGTCTATGAACATAAAATTAAATGAGCCTGGTTCAGTGATTATTAGAACTTAAGTGTATTCTTAATGAAAGCTAATTCAGTAATCAACATGAAAATGTAAATGACTAATTTGTTTCTAACTGAAAATTAACTCTTACCTTAGAGCAGGGTAGAAAATAGCTGTTAAGATTCTTGATGGTCTGATGCGGCAACTTTTAATGACACTTCTAACTTTTCACATTCATATTGGACCAAGTCCTGGAAGCCTGTACAGATTGCTTAAATGCATTTATTCGGTGAAGAATAAAGCATTATATTTTGGTTTGTTATTTACATTTTCTTCACAGTAATTTATTTGATCTGTTTCTTTGATCGTTAGTTTGGTCTTTTCTGTTTTCATGTCTTACATGGGGACAGTAAGTAATCGCTACCATGATAGAGAAAATGTGGTTGGATTTTGCTCTCATTTTGCCTCTTTTTATAAATCTGTTTTGGCTGTTTTTCAATGAGGAATGAACTTTTTCCTGATGTCTGCTCACGTGACTCTGGCCTGACCAAAGGTGCGAGTCAAAGGAAAAAGATCATATTATCAAATTCCCAATTACAGGAAAAATATCTTCAGAATAAATTTGCAGTATTACTTTTGCAGAAAGCAAAGATGGCTATAATGTACCATCAGTGCATAAAATCGTAAGATGGAACTTGTAATTGTTTAAAATTGGGTCTACAGTAATTGAGACTACACTTTAGAGTGTTTCGGACTATAAAGTCCCTTTTAAACTAGATGTCTTCCTTGTATAACATAGCCCACAATTTTGCTGATGAAAAACTTATTGTCCGAAACATGCAAAGTTTAATCTAAATTACCCTTTACACATATTAAACAATTGTTATTGCCATCTTAGTGTGTAAAATCCTCATTTTATGTTATCCTCTTATCTCCAGCCTGACAATTATTTCAATGCAAATTGTTCCTTCTGGAACTACTCAGAGAGAACTATGATGGGATACTGGTCAACTCAAGGCTGCAAACTGGTTGACACAAATAGAACTCATACAACATGTGCTTGCAGTCACCTAACCAACTTTGCAATTCTTATGGCTCATCGGGAAATTGTGGTAGGTAATGATGTTACTAGCCATTGTCAGGGAACAGACTTTTAAAGATTGAGCTTTAAATTTTTAGCAAGATCCAAAATTGCTGAAGTTTCTCAAGTATTTATAGCTTCTACCCACACTTTCAAAAGCAATTTGCTTTCTGTAGCTTTTTTTTTCCTCACCCATAAAGTTACAAGCAAAATAACAGGAAAGAAAACCAAGGAAGGGCAAGAGTTTCCCTCAAGTCATATTTTAGTTACTGACCACCTTACAACCGTTTTACAGACTTCCCCTCAGTACAGCTGGAGAGTATCTGTAGGCGCAGCTGTGCAGGCTGTTCCCTGGAATCTCAAGTGCCAGCTCTCCTTAGAGCAGGAAGGTCAGCCCTTACTGGATGTCAGGGGGCCTGGAACATGCAATATTTGCAAGGATATGGGGCCTCTCATAAAACCATTGTATTCAGAAAGGTCACTGAAAAGATAACCAAGATGACAAAAGTGATTCTGTCACAACTGAAGCAAGGAACTTTCTTTAGCTAAATGTGAGATCAGAGCTGGAATTACATGCGTAACATAGTCTGCATTTTATCTTGATTGTTGTGTAAATCATTGCTTTCTTCTGTGCTGTGGAACTCTGTAGGAAAGAACATGTACTCTTATAGTATGTCCCAGGCAAAGCTCTCCTCTTTCTTTGCATCAGAGCCTCGTGACACTTTCAAAGTGTTAAGTTTCTTTACTTGTTCTCGTCTCATGAGTTTACAGTGAGCTGTAGGAAAAGTAAAAATGCTATCTGATCTGGCTAAGATAGTCACATTTTTCTCTCAGACCTGCTCACCTTTTACTTACCGTAATCTTGCTCTTCTGGAAAGCTGACCTGAGACTGAGAAATAACTGAGTGCATTTTGTCCATCTCATGTAATGAACAAGTAACTTTTCTGGATGCTATCTGTGAAAATAGGTTTTTGTTTATACTCATAAAGAGTCATATTAATTTTCTCCATTCTTGGTTATTTCTAGTACAAAGATGGAGTGCACGAATTGCTCCTCACTGTCATCACCTGGGTGGGAATTGTCATCTCTCTTGTTTGCCTGGCCATCTGCATCTTCACATTCTGTTTTTTCCGTGGCCTGCAAAGTGATCGTAACACTATTCACAAGAACCTTTGTATCAACCTATTCATTGCTGAGTTCATTTTCCTAATAGGCATCGATAAGACAGAGTACAAGGTAAGTTTTCTCTGTCTGTACTGATCTTGTTCTCTGAAATGACTGTTTGAAATGGATTTGAATTAAAACATGACACCACCACCAAGCTTTCAGCATTCTGACACAGCAAGGCTGAAATAAAAGCTTAGTGTGAAAGTAAGACAGCCATGTTCATAAATAGTATTTACATTCATCAAAAATATCACTGTGGCTTTAATTTCCCACTTACTGCAATATTTTTCATTTTCAGTTGAGAAACATCAGCTATTAATGAAGCAGGTGTTAAACTTTTGAAAGAGGAGATGAAATTAAATGTTGATGTACTAGGAACATTTTTTTTTTTGATACATTCACATGTCTGAACAGCTCTTTGCTACTTTTTTGTATATAGATATATATTAGTACAAAGTCTTGTCTATATATTTATACATCTTTTACACTGCACATTCATGCAGTATTGGTGAAATTAAATCTGAAGAGATTTGTTGGGTTGAAATCTAATAATCAGTAAAGTTTCATGCAGAACTCAACCAAAGGGGAGAGAATTCAGATTGACTTCTGTTACAACAGTAGAAACCTCCAAATTAGAGCAGATAAAAATGGGTGGGTGGCTGCTTCATAATTTAAAAAAAACGGTATTTCATTATGCATCTAGAACCAACTGTTCATGTCTCAGATTATCTAAACTGTAAGTCCTAAAACCATATCAGCTTCAAAATTAATGTGTATAAAATTGAAAAGTCCACTCTGCAATTGAAGAGTGGGGGGTGAGGGCGCAATTTCCTTACCTTCATTGACACTCTTTAGCTAATTGACTTTCAGAAGCTACTGAGCACACCTTAGTATTTTCAGACTTCATTGTATCTTTTCAGGTAGGGAAAATGCTCCTGAATTTGTGAAAGATTTCTGACAGAAGTATATGCTGTTCTATAACATACTATTTAGTTGGAGATGAACCATGTGAAGATTTTGTGGTTTATACTTCCGTCTTTCTTTTTCTTTGCAGATTGCATGTCCAATATTCGCAGGTCTGTTACACTTTTTCTTCCTGGCAGCCTTTGCCTGGATGTGTCTAGAAGGAGTGCAGCTTTATCTAATGTTAGTAGAAGTATTTGAAAGTGAATATTCTAGGAAGAAGTACTATTATGTTGCTGGCTACCTCTTCCCTGCTACAGTCGTTGGTGTCTCAGCAGCTATTGACTATAAGAGCTACGGAACAGAGAAAGCGTAAGTAATTGCAAGTGACCTGATTGTTTTTCAAGTGAATAATTTTTTAAAGCCTATTAGCTGTCAGAGGGTCTCTGACAGACTAAAATACCATCTGAAAGCTTTATTGGTAAGAGAATGGCAATGCTGTGCACAAATTACAATCAAGCCTTTTGTAATTCTCTAGGTTCAGAGGATTCATACTCTAGAGAGACTGATTCTAAATTATGGTCTTTCTTTTAACACAAAAGACTGACCTGAAACAAATTGAAAAAGTAAATAACTTTTTGGCCTCAAATGTATATTAAGTAAAAATTTTCAACTTAAAGTATCTGACAGGCCTAACCACCCAGTTTTAAGCTGATGCTTCATTAGATCTCTTTGTTCAACTGCCCCTCTAGCTAACTCTCATCCTGAATTATGACAGTACAATATTCCAACCCGTATGTTTCACTTTGATAATACTTTATCAGGCAAGTAGAGCAGGATTAAAATTAGCCACTGCCTTTTATTTACAAAAATACGGATATATATAGAAAGTGACAGAAGGTAGACAGAAAACATTTTGAGGATTTGAGTTGCTGGAGGCATGAATTTGCCTTCCAATAGTGTTTACTTTGTCCTTTGATGAAATTAGTTACAGAAGGGGAAGATACTGTTGACTACAAGAAAGCTGCTTGATTTTGCTGCTGTTCAGCAGGGAACTGGGCTGTATGAAAAACGAATCGCTAACTCAGCCCTGATAGGTTTACACATCATCTACTCTGGTATCATATGTATTCTTTCTCTACTGTTCAACTCCCATTTGTGGCATATTGTTTATACCATACTGTTTTTCAGCAGAATGTGGCACTTTCTGTCTCATCCCTCAGGAGTAACCACTTTGCATATGGTACAAACTTAAAAGCAGATTTTGAAGATTACATGCAAAACCTGTGAGAAATACTGATGTTAGGTTCATCCTCCATGATAGCACCTGTAACCAAAACTTTTGACTGGAAGGAGAGCGAGCTCATTTTGGTTTTGTTTCTTCTTATATGTTAGCTATTGCTGATGATGTAGTTTAAGGTCAATAATGTTATTAAACAGGACTCATCAGAAGAGTTTCAGGTTAGGAAAAATTGTCCACAGACTAAGTGGTACTGTGCAGTATTTATCATTGTTTACTGGCAAAATGTTAGCTTAAGAAGTATTTTTGCACTTCCCTTTTATTGGACTTAGGTACTAATGCAGTTTTTCACTTTTGATTCTTTTTTCCACAATAGTTGCTGGCTTCATGTAGATAACTATTTTATTTGGAGTTTCATTGGACCTGTTACCTTTATTATTCTGGTAAGAACTTTGTTTTTTCCTTTCCTTTTAGGTTGCCTCACAGCAAAGTCAAAAAGATTGAATAACTTCAGTCAATACCATCCTTATTCACAAGACATTTCATGAAAATGCTTATAAACAATTTGTAATGTGACCAGTGGTCATATAAATGTTTAGAAATCTTTAAAAAGTGCTGACCAAATGATTAATTGTCAGAGCTGTGGTGGCACCTGGGCATAGCCATTTTTATCTAATGGCTTGAAACACTGAAGGTCATATTGACATGTGTAGTCATATGAAAAATCAATGAAGTACTAAACACAGGGTTTTTTTTTTAAAGGAACCATTATTATTGCTTTCAATTGAGTCACTATTGTACGTCGTCCAGAATTTAACTGCTAATTATCCAACATAATTATCTCAAAAGGGTATTCTAACACATTGAATAATTAAATAAATCTTGTATTTCATTATACTTACACAGTATTTGCATATGCATATGCACATTTTCCATGACTGCTTCTGTTGTATTTATGCTACATGTATGTCAGACATATAAATTCATCTATTTTCATACAAATAACAAAGTATTATGCAACCAGTAGAAAGTATTGCAATCATTTGAGTAAAATCACTGTTTGCATGCACACCCATATGTACACCCACAGCTGTGTGCCCCATTGTCCATTTAAAATGAAATGTTGTGTTTATGCATCAATTACAGGTTCTCTGAGCAGTTTCAGGTAAAAAGCACATAGTCATCTGTCAACCCAGGGAAAATGTCTCCCTGTTGCTTCAGACTAGTAATACCAACACTGCACAACGTAGGGTTTTGGAAGGAAAGTGAATGTGAGATGTGCATTTTGGCTCACCTTGCTTTTCTCTGCTAGTTCAGTATCTTTAAAGCCTGTCTATACTTTGGAAATATTCTAGAAGGCTGTGCTAGGGGCATAGCCTATTTGCAGAGAGCTTTTCTCATAACTGCTGACAGTTTGGAAATATTAATTCATTTTTCATGCTTTTGAAAGTCCAAATAGTTACCTGTTTCCCTGGTTTTATGCCATGGTAGAGTTGTGAACTGTTAATGAAGTTTGGTTCCTTTGAATTCCCAAATTCAGGAATTGGATTTTGCCATTATTATTTTTTCAGCCCGAAGCACATGCATCAGGTGTAATTTTGAAATTTCTGATTTCTGTAGATCTATGATCTAATATATAGGTGTACTATTTCAACACGTCTTGTAGTTCATAGTTTACATTACTTCTCCGTATAAAAATGAATTGAAACTTTGATGATGGAACTTTCTATAGAAAATGGACCCAGCCAGTCTTCTGTAGGTACTTTATTCCTTCCTGATATCTTAAATATTGAAATAAGGTTATGTATATTTAGGTTGGGTTTATTCTCTGTTTATGTCAAAAACCATTTCAATCCTTGAACAGGATTGAAACTTGAACTATCTTTTCACTTAAGAAGATGGTTGTGCAGTGTTCATTGTTATTCGAGTTCATTGGCATATTTTCAAAGAAACAGCCATAGATGCCAAAACTCGTGTGTATGAGTTGAATTAAAAAAATTACAGTGTTTGTAAGATTTAACTATAGACCATAATAATTGTACTGAGTTTATTCTAAATACATGTAAATTAAATCAAGTCTCAATGTGATAGGGATTCTTTTTTAATTAAACCTACAATTACAATTGAAAGATGTACTTAGTATTTTCAATATGGTAGACAGTATTTTTCAACACAGAGTTGTTTCTTTCAGTTGTTATAATCATTACTAGAAAATTGTCCTAAGTTTCACGCCACAAAAGTTCAGTTACCTCGAGTCTGATTGTGTGGTGATAATTTTACTTTTTGTGTCTAGCTTTTTATTTTATTGTTACTGGGAGTATTTTGATAAGTCACCTCTATTTCTCTCCCTTGCTTTAAAATAGCATTTCACATGGGAAGCTTTGGGCTTTGCTGAAGGCTTTTTCACTTTCTCATAACCAGGTCAGAGTGAGAATAGAGGTGAAGGACATTTAATCATATTGACCATGTACAGACATAGTTCACTATTATTTACTGGCCATGACATTATTATCCTCCAGCAAATCATTTAGTCTGAGACGCAAAAGGCCTTTGGGAGCAGTATTCCCAACTTCAAAAATATGAAACAGCAGGTAGCAATCACAGCACAGTTCCTGGGAGTAATTCTTCTCTAGCAATTGCTTTGCCCTCTAATCGTCCCAACTGAGAAAGCAAAAGAGACTGGAGAAAGAAGTGTGAGAAGTGTAATGGCTGAAAAATAGTATGTCGTGTGCAGTGTAATTGAAGAGCCATATTTGTAGTGTAGCTTGCTTAGTGTCAGTAGCATGTGAGAATTTCACCTCAGTAAGCTTTTTAACATGTTCATCAAATCAATTCTGTGATTCTCAGTTTAATAGTACTGTCAATGCACATAAACTCCTTTTTGACAGTATTGCTTACTAGTTTAATTTACAATTTTTTCTCTGCATTTATAAGCATTTGCTCTTGTATCTGTATACAGGTTTCCTCAAAATGAGGATGGGAAGTATAAGGGGGAAGTACGAAGTTCCTCTGTACATCTCTTGAGGAACTTTCAACTTCACTATTTCCATAGTCTGTCATGCCTCTGGGCACCAGGGTTATTATATCTATGAGAAAAGAGCATGTAAGTAATGAGCGGTGGGAAACCATTAGTATGCCTGAAATGGTTTAATGAAAGCTTGGATCATGATACGTCAGGAGCTGTTCTTATCATTTGGACAGCTCCATCTGCATCTTTAATAATTAATTCAGTTCAGTAAGAGTTCAGTGTGCACACTCATTTAGAAGCCTTCAGAGAACACCTCTCTCCCTGCCAGTCCCAGAGAGAAATAGGCTTCTGCATGGCTAAGAGCAAAGATCTGGAGATACAAGAGCAGTTTTAGAGCTGCATTTGCCAGGTAACAAAAGCTCTGGGGAGCTCAAAAAGGGTCAGAACATGTGCAGTTCAGCTAGGTTACTTCAGAGTGGTGTTTCTGTTCTTCTGTCTTATCATATCCATGTCAGCACTGCAGGCTGTGTGGAATGAATTTTAAGCTGCTAAGCTCAGGCGGACGTGATTCAATTGAGCAGGTTCATGGCTATAAAACAAGCAGTGCACTCCTGTAATCTGTGGTCAGAAAAGCCTGAGTATTTTGACTTCTATGTAGATCCATTTTCATTCATATCCAAGGAATGGGTGATGTTGGTTTGACTTTAATACAGCTAAAACCACTGGAGTTTCCTTCTCGCAGATGGAACCAATCTATTAGGCTACCGGAGGTTTTTTAAGCAAAAATTCCTAAGATGTCCTGTTCCATTAACATAGGAATTAACATTTTTCACTCAGGTTGAGGCATTACTTCAGCAAAGTCAGTGGATGCGGATATACAGATGCACACATGATCTAGCTCTGCGTATGAAAATGGACTGTATGTGTAAGCTTATGTATATAAATAATGCACATACATCTTTCTGTGGTAGACACTTGATAAATGGTACTTATCTATTGTTCATAGGGGGAAATTTATCATAATTATTGCAAAATCCAGCTTTATTTGGCTACTAATTTGTTGTACCTGCAACTAATTTGAATCCATTAGTCTTCTGTGCAGGTTATTACATCCACTGTTTTAAAAAGTTAATTTGACTTGAAGTCAGTCCCTCTCAAAACTACATAGGTTTTAGGTGCCAGAAAGACAAAATTCCCACTTGCATTATTTTTCGTGTCCAGTACCTTCTGATTTCTAAACCACATACAGCCCTCTGTGTGTTGGCAATGATAGAAGCATGATCTTCCAGGCTGCTGCATTTGATCATTACCATAAAAAATCTTCAGATTTTAGATTTTTCAATATTTACATTTTATTTAATAATATATATGAAATTGCTTTTCCTTTGCTCCATCTAGTTACACTTGTCATTAAGAGAAAAGTAGGAACTGGTATTTTAAAAGGTGCTTGATAACCTTTTTTACTTTTACATATATTTGTAAAATCAGAGTATAGATTAAATCAGTTGTCTATGTAATCCAGTGTCCTGTCTGTTATAGTGGATAATATATTTTAGAAATTACATCAAAATCCTGATAGAAACATCTATGAAATCCCATCAATCCAAGTTTTGCTTATTATCAGCTAATGTTTTAAGAGTTGTCACATTATAGCTCCACCTACTGTAACTGCATGTTTTGTCACTTGGTATCACAGCAGAATCTTCAAATCCAAAACTTATAAATAGGCTTTATATAAATAGACTTATAAATAAAACTTAAAAAATTCCTACTTTTAGCCTTTGAAAGAGCACTGGTCTGATTTTCAGAAGTGTGGCATGAAAGAGATTTTCCTGACTTTATCAAGGATATAATTTCCTGACTGTTTAAGATGTATACACTGTGGCTGTGTGTGTATTTACATAATGTAGTTATATTTTCTGTTGTCATTGAAGGAGAGAGGTACTGTTCAGGTGCAGATTTTGGTTCACCTGGGATGCAGTTGAGTTGTCAGGATGAGGCCCAGCGAATCGCTACCCTGTTAAGTTATATGAAGTGATGAGAAAGTCACCATTGTCAGAGGCCCAGTTATGCCTCTTACAAGTTTGCTTTTCAAAGCCCATCTTGCCATTCATGTGAGCCTTTATGTGACCCTAGAGTACTGTGTGTTTGTGGTGAACATGCCTCTTAAAGGTGTCCTGTTCAGACCATGTGTCAAGCTTGGAAAGCATTTATAGATTCATTTACTTGGATCAGTAGCAGTTCACTCGTCACACAGTTGTGAAACAATTCAGGATGGAAGTGATGTCAGGAGATCTGTGGTCAAAACAGGCTCAATGCTGAGCTCAGACCAGGTTGCTCAGGGCTGAAAAAGTTTTCCTTATATAGAGTTGGTACAAATGAATGCAAAAACACCAAGTGTGTTTCCTTCTCCCCCCACGTATTCCTCCCCAGGAAAAGTAATTCAGCCATTCCTTCTAAAAGCAATTATTCTGCAAGTTTCCTTCCCTCACTGCTTATTGCCTTGTGTAATAAAATGGCAGGATGCCCAAAAATCTTCAACTCATGAGTTCTTCCAAAACAATCAATTTCTAGATGAAAAGCAGTAAAGGAGCCAAAAGCGAATCTATAGAAAGGTTTGGTTACAGTATTTGTAAGTGGGCAAAATAGGCTTTTGATAATGATATAATGTGTAACAGAGATGCCAGCATGTTTGAACAAGTGGCAGACTATGGTCTTTTGACGGCTGAAACTGAAAACTAAGCAATATTTCCCAGTAATGGAAAAACAGGTATCATATGCTCTGTTGTCATAGTTACTTTGTCTGCAAAGTACAATATTTTGCTTTTTTTCTTCTCTTCTTGGAAGGACTTTTTCAGCTGCTGTAATACAGCATTATTATTTCTGTGGCTGTTTTGGGGGGTCTGTACCTAAATTCAAATTAAAGCATCCATTAAGAAACTGCTATGTAAAGTTATTCCCTAGTCCAGCAAGGACATACATACAGACAGCAATGAGTATCTACATAAAACCTGCTTAACATGCTGGAGCTTGGCTCAGGCACTGGGCTAGGGCTGTGTCTGCTTGCAAGTCACTGGAGGAACTTCAGTATGTAAATACAAGCTTTTGTTTTTCATATCTCAAACCAGCATTTCAGTCGTACAAAGAAGCAGAGGATAAAAACCTCTCATTTCATAGGCAGTCATTTATGGGCTAAGCCATATCTATGAGGTTTTGATCCAAGAATGATGTAGCTAGTACAATACAGAATACTCCAGGGTAGCTACTTAGGCAAGGATTAGCTTCCAGCGGTGCTGCAAATACTATTCTGAACTGGATTGTGCACTCCTAGTTGTATAGGTTGCAGCCAAAGTTGATTTACGTGTTAGGATTGGCATGGGACATGTGTCTTAGCTCTTAATCTGTTTATTTTCACAGAAAGTAAATTGACGTTATATTTTTTTAAGCATGCTGGAGAAGTTCATGTTATGTCAGCTACAAAACTGTGCAAGAAACTTTTTCAAATACAGAAGAATGGTTTGCCTGCAAAGGCATGGAACTGAGGGTCAGGTCATGCACAGAGTCCCTGTCCTCTGTCTGTTGCAAAGGCCGGGGAGAGAAGCAACTTGTTTTCTCGTCCAAGGAATTTGTGCAGTACAGTGGAAACATAGATAAGGGGAACAAAATGATTGCAATGATATAATGAATTGTTTCTCAATTGGTTAGTCATTACCTATAAGAATCATAAAAGGTAATCAGCAGGGTCATCAGATATTGACACTTGGAGTACATTTTGCAGCAATGGAAATCATGCTTAACCTATACCATGTACATACTTCCACTTAAAGGTTAAGTATTTTTTGTCAGTTCTTGAAACATAAACAGAAATAAAGTATAAAAGCTTGGTTTTGTTATTTGTATCACATACACTTTTTGTATTAATCTCAAGGTAAAAATATTTTACTTTTAATAAGGACTGTTGGTGTCAAAAGCCTCCCAACACTGTTCTGGTGTTGAAAACTGCATTATAGATAATACTGTCCGTCCTGATTTGGAGACAGCAACAGCAGTGATAACTTGATTGCCCTTAGCAGTAGGAATTATTTCTGTTATACATACATTTATTAACAGACTCTGATCAGAGCCTTTAAAAGGAGTTGAGTGATGTTTCTGACCACTGTGGCACAGCTATAGGAACACATCTGGTATGGACTGGTATCATCCCCAATGTTACAAAAAGGATTTTGATGCCGTCTCAAACCAAAGGCTCCCCAAAATGAGAGACTAGGCTTGATCATTCTCCATCAGTAACCAGTTGCAGATATATATGGGATATTTTAAGAATGGGGTTATAATCTATATAGTATATGTGTTATAAGGATGTCCGAGCATGCTCTCCTATTTTCTGTTGGCTATCAGTTCAGCCACTTCTTGTGGACCATTGTACTAGTAGATAAAGATGCCTGTCTTCTCCTTGGAAGAACATAGTTCTTACTGTTTTCAAACGTACAATTTTATTTGAATTGTCTGCATGACATTGGACAGCACATACTAATTACTCAAAATAACTGTATACCACTTTTCAGCCCATATTCTGCAGGCATCCTTATGTTTGGCTTACCTGCTCTTCACATGCTTTGAAATCAATAGGAGAAAGGCACCTAGTATTTTTGATACCTGTGATTCTGTTTCACAATAGGAAAACTATAAAAAATTACCTTCAGTATCTTCCCTGGTGTTATCTATATGAATGACACAACAAGAATAAGACAGCATAGTCCTTTCCTTCAAGTCTCATGCAGTCTTGCTTTGACAGAATCCAGTGAAAGAGGGCAATAGGAAGGTGCACCACTAGCGTATGTCTGTGGCACTGCTAAGTTTGATGCATTTGCTACATCTTTGTGTTTCTTTTTCTCTTTCTTTTTCTTTAGTTACATTTAAGCTGTTTCCAAGAACTGAGTGGGATTTTTGAGAACAAAAGGGAATAAAAAAAAGGAAAGGGAGAAACCAGCAAAGGCGAAAAACATTCCAGAAGCAGGATGGGGTGAAAAAAGGACAACTAGTATAGTACAGTAAAGGGGTAACCATAGTCTGCACGGAGGTCAGTGAAATGCGGAACAGGGCTAGAGGTGACAGGCAAAGGTGAACAGGGGCTAAGCACAACATGCTGGAAGACAGATCTGGACTGACAAAGACGAGCACTGGACATAAGATAAATGTGGTGGTTCATGATGATGTGGTGAATTTGAAAAATTAAGTGACCTATAACTTTTTCTTCCCCTCATCCATATTTGCAGTCACCTTTTACAGACTGTCTGATGTAGTTATCCAGTTTCACTACATATTTGAAAATAAACTACACGGGTTTTGTTTAGTCTGTAACATCATCATTATTCAGCCTGTTACTTGAAGTAGTTTAATTTCATTCTTATCTGTTTTGACAGTTGAATCTTATCTTCCTGGTGATCACATTGTGCAAAATGGTGAAGCACTCAAACACTTTGAAACCAGACTCTAGCAGGTTGGAAAACATTAAGTAAGTGCTTTGTGTTCAAGTATGAGAACTATGATTATTTTCTGATTGCTGAACTGATTGAAAGCTACTCTCCATTAGGAGCACATGCCATTGTCTCCCAGCAACTGCAGATGTCAATTAGAAGCAAACAGAGCCAATCCTTCTTTCGTCACATTGTTGCTGTAATGTCACAAACGCCGGTCAAAATTAGATAATTTCAGCCTGGAACTAGTGCCAAGAAACTGTTTCACGGAAATGCCACAGAACTGTAGTAATTTCATTTGCATTTAAAACACAGTTCTAAAATGATGTTCCTGTTTGCATGGCTGATATGATTATATTAAGTTTGTTTTGTTAAATGACTTTTTGATTTAGGGATTCTGAGCAGTTTCTACTCGTAATCCTGTTCTCCCAAGAGAATTGACTCTATTATTATTGTTAACTTGAAGATTATCTGCTGTTTTCATGCTAATTTAACAAATGTTTACGTTATCATGGTGCTGTACTTCAGTATCCCTTTTGCAGAGTAATGTAAGTGTTACACAATTAACAAGGCTTTGACAGCTCTTGCTTCTTTAGATAGTCTTTTGTTGTATTCTCTATAGCTTTATGTTGTACTGAAGGGTTTTGTTATCAACACTGAAGGGATGATGCAACTTTCTAACACTGAGGGTTGGATGTGAAAGGGTCTTACAGATTTGCTTTGAATGTTGAAAATGGTGAAGGGAGATTTTTCAGTAAGGCTATGACATTGTGAACTAGATGTTCTAGCTAGGTCAGTATCAGCTTCATTGCATGTTGCATGATGAGAGAGAGAGCTAATCTTTAGCATCTCTCTCTTTTCTTCCCTTTCCTCTTTCTGTCTTCTCATCCACACCAGTAATTACCGTGTTTGTGATGGCTACTATAATACGGACTTACCTGGGTAAGATAGAACCCTACATTAACAAATTTCTAGCATGATTTTTAACTTTACAAACTCGGTCAATATTGTGGATTTCCCTTAATTTTAAATAACTAGTTTTGAGATACCTGATTTGCTAAAGAACTTTAAACTATTGTATGCCTTTATAATTTTAAATTGCTTGCTTCTGCATTTTGAATTTTCTGATTTTTGACTAATTTTTATAGACAATTAAAAATGCTCTTATTAATTTCTGTTTCAATTCTGTCTAATAATTTTGTTTCTCTTTTCTGCTTATAATGCTTTCTAGCTATGAAGATAATAAGCCATTTATCAAGTAAGATCATTAGTTAGATGTGGAATTCACTGACTAAATTCCCTTTCCCTTTCATTCTGTGCCGTTCTCTACAATTCCTTTTCCTTAACCTGTTCATGATGGAATCTCTTTTAGACTATTCTGTAGAGCAATATCCATATTTTTGTCACATTTCAGCAGGGTTTCTTCATGCGGAAGTTAGATCATCTAGCTTCAGTGTAGCTGAGTTTATCAGAGCATTAAAGATTTGGGCTCTAGGCTTTTAATCTGCTGTTTAACCTTTGTGCATTTGTGTTACATTATTTGGTGTCATATGGCAGCACCACTGCTTAAAATCTATGGTGTGATTAGTGACTAAGGCAGATTTATCAATCTCTTTTCTAAAAGCAGATAAAGCAATGGAGTAGCTGGGGCTTGCGCTATACTTCTGCATTTCAAAATAGTTTTGACATCCTATGCAGTTCTTGAGAAAGAAAAAGGTCACATCTACTCTTGCTGTTTTCACTGGAGACTAAGAGTACTAAATGGAATTGTTCTTTCTTTAATAGATAAAAGGTTAAACCCAAGGAATTTTTACATTTGAATATGAACCTAGTAAAAGTCAACTGCAGGAACTGAAATGTTAATATTGGATTTGGTGATATGCATTCTCATAAGTAATGGTACTAAAATTAATTTTCTTTTACAGATCCTGGGTCCTGGGTGCATTTGCTCTCCTGTGTCTCCTTGGCCTAACATGGTCATTTGGCCTGCTGTTTATCAATGAGGGGACTGTTGTGATGACGTATCTCTTCACAGTATTTAATGCTTTCCAAGGAATGTTTATTTTCATCTTTCATTGTGCCCTTCAAAAGAAAGTAAGTTAATAAAAACACAGATGCATGTTCCCTAATTCCTTAAAAATACCACATGTATTTCCTTAAAAACTAGAGAGAAAAGTAGCAACGTTAAGAACTGGAGTATTCTGAAGTAGTTTGAGGAGGGGACTAAGATTCAAAAGCAATTCTTGCTGTGTGTTCTTGTGGGAGTCCTGTAACAGCTCTGTGGGTTTAAAATGGATGCAGCATTTCCAACCTGGGCTTGAAAAGTTTTGAGGCTTTGAGAAGAAAATTACTATAGAAAATGTACTACTGTTTAACATTGGTAATGTGGTACATATAAGTCCAGACTTACAGCCAAAAGTCTTTATGTGTGCATGAAACAAATCCTGCCTTAGCTGCAGCACTGCAAACAAAAGATCATTTATGGTATCAGCCTATCTCAGCCTGGAAACTTTCTGAGATCAAGGCAGAGGACCTCTCCTGAGATCCCATTAAGCTGCCACATAAAGCTACGGGTGATAGGCAGGGATTGTACTGTCAGTGCTTGTTCATTACAAAATTAAGTGAGATGTAAAAATTAATTTTATTATGAACTTCAACACACTTTAGAAAAAATGTAGTCATTAACACTAGATAACTGCTAACAGGGAGAGTTTCCCAAAGATGCCAGCATGACTACTTCTATTCAAGTGTTTGCTTCCCCCAGCAATCAACAGCTTTGTGCTCTCAACTGGAAAAACTGGAATCCCCTGGCAAGAGCTTTCACTCATAAGTGGGATGTGCTAAATTAGTTCTGCTCCCCTTTGCCCAATGGGAACAGGGGAGTCCAGAAGGAGCAGATCTGGGGAGAGAGAAGGCTTGTAGGGGAGAGAGGAGAGCAAACAGGAAAGAAGGAAGTGAAAGGCACAGCTGCATGGGATTCTCTTTGTGTTCCCTGCATCTCTTCTTTTCCCCAGACTGAGCAGGGAGACTGCTTCCAAGGATGCCTTAGAGGTGTTTTTCTGAAGGACAAAAGAAAAAAGTTCATAGCCTGTGTTAGAAGGTGTAGCAAATAAAAGTAACAAGAGTTGAGAGGAAGGATAAACGTGAATCCCACCCAAAAAAACCTCACATAAAATGCAGTACAGACTACATTTGGAAATACCCAATTTGCAATATTTAGATTCTAAATATTTTTACCAGTTTAGGCTGGAGACGTAGCAATTATTAACTCCCATTATAATTAGCTCACCCGAGACATAATTAACTGATATTTATAAAATGTTTTGAGACCACTGGATAAAGTATTGCTGTGCAAGTACAAAACCCACATTCTTGTGTGACTCAACTGTACGAGCTCTAACAGTATCAGCATCCCTAAATTTGGTGTAGACAATGGCATTCAGCCATGTTTTAGGAAAAGATCTGGGAGACAAAGTTTTATCCAGATGAACATGGCATTCCTCTCATTTTGAGAGAATAAAAGCACACTTAGAGGGGAGATTGAGCCTAAGAAAAGAAGAAAGGGAGGAAAATGCAAACATTCTTAAAATGCAAATAATTTCTAGATTAGGGTTTCATATAATGTTGCCCTTTCTACCACTTGTATTGGACTTGAAAATCAAAAACATTGATTTTTTATTTCTTTTTACAGCTGTGCATTGTTTTTATATTAAGTGGAGTCAGCAAAAAGCAATATTAAAATACCAGTCAAGTGTGAGAAAGCATAACCTAGTGCAGTAAGATTTATACCTGAAAGAATGTTAAAGCTGCCATTTAAGATTTTTAAGTTTCAATGCCTTTGACTGGATATCGTCCTATCCTCTGTCTGCATAGCTAATGTAGTCTTTTTATTCTGTTATTACTAGTTGGTCACTAAATTGAACAGTGAAACAGAATTGTGAAAGTGAAAACTATTATGTTTCCAGTTCTGACAAGATGATAGTGCTGTTGCTTCCATCAGTTTCCAACAAGCTGTAATTTAGAAATAATGACAGTGGAATGTGCAGTACTGACAGATAATGTACATTCACTGCAATATAGGCATTAGGCAAAACCAGCCCTGGAGGGTGGTATTTGGGTAAAAATACAGTTTTGATTGCTATTGTCTCTACTATGTAGTGGTTTGGATCATTTAATATCCATTTGTGTTCAGGAATGGATTTTCTTAGGTGTTATACCATCTAGTGATGATACATATGGACTTGAGTTTTACAGACTACAGGGTAAAGATTATAATTCTATGTCCATGCACTTTTGTTTTCATTTTTTATGAGTCCTTTTGTGTTGTTATAGATAGGGGTTCAGTTAAAATATGTACCATATACTTGTATAAAAAGATGAGTTATTGTCTCTAGCTTCAAGTTAATTAAGGCATTAGCTATTCAAATTTCGTTAAACCTTATGGTTTATAAAAATATCACAGTATGTGTTCCATGAGTGAAAATCTTGTAGTATTTGTAACAGCACATGACATACATATGTAAATCCACACTAATAACTTTTTGCATTTTCCCCTCTCCCCTTTTTACATACACATAACTTTCTGTCCTGTATTTTCATAGGTCAAGCACACTTAAATTGCCAAGTATTGGGTGGAAGATTTATGAATTTAGGCTTGAGCATCTTTCCAAATATTATCCACTCTATCCTTTCACTGGTGCTGTCATGCTGCCGAGATGTGTCTTCACTCTCCTGTTACTTGAAAATAGTAGTCAGCATAGCAGCCACAAAAATTACGAAACTAAAGTTACTTGTAGGCCACTGGAAACAGAAGGTGAATAAATGCAAGCAGAATACTGGAATCATTAATTAGTTTTGTTGCTTTGTCAGACAAAAATCTCATATACATATATGTATTCACATTTCTAGGTTCAGCAAACACAGTAATGAGGATTTTATTTTTTGGACCTAAAAGTGAAAAATTTCCCAACCTTTACAGTTCAAAATTTGACTCTGGAAGTCTGATGGTGCCTCCGCCAGCACAGCAGGCGTTCTCCCTAGAGCGGGGCAGTGGCATTTGTGAGCTTTGTACAGTCCCAAAGCTAGTGTGACCATATGAACTAGCAGCTGTTTGAGTTACACATAGTAACTTTATATGAAAAAGACTTTATAGTCATTGCAGGTTTTGTGCACTTTCTCAGAAGGGATAACATAATGGGCACTATTGAGCAGTGCACAGGCTAGTTACCTCAGCCCTTCTTGCATGCTAGGATGGGAAGATAGGCTTTCCATGGTTTCTGCACCAAAAGCTCATATAAAAAGAACTATTTTCAGGCAGCATTCAATTCTGGTAAACTGAACTATATTAATCTAGTTAAAATAAAAGACAATATAAGACAAAAATAATGCCATAAATAACTCAGTAATGGTTATTCAGGCATATCTACATGAAATGTGTGCATACCTTGGAAACAATTTGTTCGGAAGTCCTGCGTAGTTGATAATGTTGCCACTAAGCAAGGAAGAATACTTGATTTTGCTAATGGCCAGCAATTCAACAGACAAGAAATATCTTTTTGCTTGAAAAGTAAATAGTTTCTATGCAAGGTTTATGTGTTTTTGCCAGTGGATATATTTAAGACTATTTTTTGTGCTAACTATTGTTTTTCACCCCATAGGTACGTAAGGAATATGGCAAATGCTTCCGACATTCCTACTGCTGTGGTGGACTACCAACTGAGAGTCCCCACAGTTCAGTGAAGGCATCAACAACAAGAACTAGTGCCCGCTATTCCTCTGGCACTCAGGTAACAAAGACTTTGACAGCATCTGTTAATTAACCTGATTTATAAAAAGCCTACTGAGATGTGTTCCAATCAGAAACACTAATTTTCTTCTCATTATTATCATTTAGATGGCAAATACATACTTCTGCATAGTAGAGTTGATTTCTTTTTAAACATTTTGTTTTACTTTGGTCTAATTCAGACACCTTATTTTTCTTGTATATTAGGGGCTGCTATAGGAAGGTTTATACCATCGTGTTTCATCTAAATGAAATTTAATAAATTAGAGTTTAAGTAATAAAAGGAGGAGTTTCACTATGTGCTAGAAGAATGGCTTACTTCAGGCCAAAATAAACACAAATATTCTACATAATAGCACATAAGTAGGAAAAAATCCTTTTGTAACTTTGCTTCTGTCTCACCACTTTATGTTAACAGAGTCGTATAAGGAGGATGTGGAATGACACTGTGAGAAAACAATCTGAATCGTCTTTTATCTCAGGTGACATCAACAGCACTTCAACACTTAATCAAGGTCAGTCACTGGGAACATTTCAGTTTTAGAAGCCTTAAATTTTATGAGATTTTATATTATTTAACACAGAATTGAAAATAATGTTTTGGAAAAAAAAAAAATTCTGGAACAAATGTTCTCTAAAAGCAGAGTTTTAAAGTCACCCACCAGCATGTTTTAAAACTGTGTTCTCTTAACTGGCCCCCTGCTATAGAAGTTGAATTCCTCCATTTGTGAGAATGTATTTAAATAAGTTTCATCAATAATTTAACTTAAAAGCAAGATCATAATTTTAAATCTTTCCTAACCTTTATAGGTTAAATCTGAAACAGAAATATGAGTGCAGTAACATTTTAATGCATATTTGACTATGATTTTTAGGTGCAGAAATTTTCCCAGTGAAATCTAATTGATATAATTTCTATGCAAAAGATGTCTGTAAAGCATTTATCTTTTCTATTTCAAAGAGCATCATATCTGTCACGTGGGATAGAATCCTGATTTTCAGGCACAGAGAAGCAAAAACTCCAAATTTCTCAGCTCAAATAGACTTTGAAATCTGTAACCTCATTCTCATGTCCAGTTAGAAGACAAGGGTATTAACTGAGACAGAATCCCTTCCTTCCTCCCCTTCTCCCTGTGTTTTTTCTAAGGCAGTTTGAGCTAGCACTGGAGGGAAGACTGCTCTGTGCAAGCCAAGTTCAAAGCCTGTTCTTCCACCCAAGTCCCTAGGAAAAAACACACAGCTCTGATCTTTACTGCAGCCAGTTTCTGCTTAACTGAGAAACTTTCAAACAGAAAATTCACCACTATGAGGGCTGATGTAAAGCCCTCATCAACAACAACTACCACATTTTTCTCCCTTATTTTTATTTTTTCAAGATTTGGTAGCAAGGACTTGTACTTAACTCATATTCATTTTGGAAGGAAAAATGTATTTTGTGAAAGAAAGCATTTCAGAAAGCATGACTGTATTATTACTATTTGGTGTATAGAGTGTGGATAAGATGTATGTGTCTCACTGCTAATCCCCATCTGAATCTTGCATGTTCCTCTAGCAAATCAAAATTAAGTAACTTCTCCTAAGTAGAATATGTGTATTTTTCATGCCTAAGAAAGAACTACATTCCTTTCCAGTGTCTTAATAAAATCTCATAAATACACTAGAGAGAAAAGTCTGGGATTTCACCCTAATTGGATATCTCCAACTCCTGAGGTTTGCTCCAATCATGCTGCACCCTCAGTTAACTCAGAGTTGAACAGAGGTCTTGGAAGCTTCTCCCTCTTTAGGAGCTCCAGTCTCAAGTCACTGGAGATGTTCTGCCATGATCAGAAAAATTGGTATTATCTTCATTCATTTACAATACTGTCACTGTCTCTCTGATACACACATACAAGGATAGTTTAGTAATCAATGGCAAGTGTCATTTTTCCTTCAAAATAAAAATCAAGGTTTTAAAGGTGGCAAAAATTTTTTAATTGAAAAAAAAAAAACTCAAGAAAAATGTATTTCAGCTAATATTTCTGTAAATAAGTAAATTACAACTGAAAAAAAAGCTATGATAGAACCTTTTTAGTTGTTCACTGAGATGAACTTCCAAACAAGATAGCATTGTCAGGCAATAATTCTCTGAATCTCAGAATTTTCCACTAATTTCTGCTGCTAAGTAACCATAGTAGTACAAAAGTATTAATATTTGGAATATATACTGTCTTTTCCTTGACAAATAAGAATACCCATACTATAAAACTATAGCTGGCTCTTCAGTTGTCCTTGGGTCTGTAATACACTGATCCTCATACACTGCTGTGCAATGCAATAGGAAAGAAAGTGGAATTTTACCTTAATGAAAAGTTTAAAGTAAGTTTTAAATCACAGCATTTTGTGTGGGGTTTTCTTTTATCATTATTCCAACCCATTTTTCCTCTAGTAGCTAGAAATCAGAGATTGACTTTTAAATAATTTCTCAAATATGCTGATTTTTTTTTTCTAATTATTCTAAGAGTTGTTCAAATGGTGTTGCATTAACATGTAAAATGGGTTTAAAAGAATCTATTCATGTAGTGTTTTGCTTCATGTTATGTTGTTTGTAAACTGATTGTTTAAACAAAATTTGTCATTCGAGGAAATCTTTTTTAAAACCTGGCAGATAAATTTGCAGCATGAGTGTCCCGGGAGAAAATGTGAATGCTCTGATTTCTTAGAGCAAATATTTTGCTTTCCCCTCAGCATGCATACTTTTACATATACTAAGATATGCTTCTTGCAGTTTGTCATCCACTGTCTGTTTGAAAACAGCAATTCCCTTCCACTATCCATTTGTTTTTCATAAAGTGAATAACAGCTCTGATCCTGTCATAAGACATTTTTCAATACCTTTCAATCTGAGAAATCCAGTTCTCTCAAGACTGGACAGAAGTGTTCCATGTGATCATTTTTAAAGTTATGATAGCTTTATGTAGTACCTTGATTGCTACACATTTAATTGATATTCTTGTGTAACAGTGATTTTGTATATATTAGTAAATGTCACTCTCACCAGATGTTTACTTTGGGGATTTGGACAGCACCTGTGAATTACTGGAACCTAACTGTATTTTCCTGCTCCCATTTCAAATACATTCATAAATTTTCAGCTGAATTACATTTGACAAGCCCTACATGATTCATGATGAATAAAAAATATTCTTTATTGAAACTGTCAGCCTAAAATTAAAGAACTGACATTTTTTTCTGTTTCTTTTGCTTTAGGAATGACTGGCAATTACCTACTAACAAACCCTCTTCTTCGACCACACGGCACTAACAACCCCTATAACACATTGCTCGCTGAAACAGTTGTATGTAATGCCCCTTCAGCTCCTGTGTTTAACTCACCAGGTGTGCTTATACTTCCTGAATAAAACCGCTTTTCTTGGCTCGCTCCAAATCCTCCTTTTCCCTAGATAGAGGCTCAAGTTGCAATACTCTAGCCATACATTCTGAATTTCTGTTAGTTCAAGAAATACAGTATTGCCAATGTCAGCTTGTAAAACTGCACTATATTATAGTAATGCCTTTGCCGTAACAGTATTTACCAATAATTATCCATGTTTTTAACACAGGTGGCATAAATCTTAATATACTATTACAGGACTGACACCACATGGTCCGAGAGCCCATCTTCAAGATAAATATCACTTAGAGGTATCATGTCTATGCAATATAAGGTTGACTCTAAAGCTTGCTGACGAAAACCTGCTTATGAAACAGATTAGATACTAAAGCAGCGCAAGGCATCTTGACACCTTTGGCTACCCCAGTGTATAAAAATCGTATCCAGCATCAAACAGATCTGAACTATAGTATAGTGCAGCTTTATGGTAGATCATTTTCCTGTAGGAAAATCTTGAGTTTAACAGTTAGAACAGTTTAGTTCTGTAGGAATAAAGGGTGTCATCACTTACCTAACATTTCGTTGTTGCATTATCTAGTTGCTTTTTTTAACTGTGGTGCAATTCATCAGTAAATACCTAGCAGTTACTGTTGATGAGTTGTAAGATCACTATAATATAACTGGAACGATAAATCTTTGATAGAGAACTCATAAAACCTTGTTTCCAGTTTTTATTTCAAGTTTCCTCTTTAACTGAACTGTAGTTTCTATTTTCATTCTCTTGTTTTCTTACTTTCCTTATGCTTTCCTCTAGCAACCTACAGAGAGACAAGTATGGGAGTAAAACTTAACTTTGCCTATCAAATGTAAATTTTTTCAGCATGATTTTTAATGGGCACAATTAAAACATAACTAGCGGTCATGAAGTAGACTCAGCGGGCAAGTGGTTCACAATTTGCAAATGAAATGTTTCCACATTCAAAAGTACTTGCATACTGCTTTTTGGGAAACAACATGAGGTCTGTAGCAAACCCTATTGGTAACAGAAGTTATGCAATGCTGAAATAATTTGCTGTTTAAAACCAAAGCAGTGTCAAGCAGAAATGCTTAACAATTTACTTATATTTTTACATTCCCACAGTAATCTTGCTACAGGCTATGGAAAGATTTCAAATGAATTACCTGATCATGGGCAACAAAATTTGCCTCATCAAACCAATTTGAATATATTCTAGCATGCTTAACTCTGCAGTATATCATAGAAAATTCATTTTGGATTATCATCAGATATATTTTGGTATCTGTTTAGCAGAAGAAAAGAGAATTAAAATTATAGAATTAAATCATTTTCATGAGGGAAATGAATGCCAGCATGTGGTCCATGTGTTGTCTACTTTTATAAATGCCGTATGTTCCACACAGCTAAATCCATTGCAAGAAAAATCTTGGAACATATATGAAATTGCAAAACTACAAAGTTGTTTAATCAAAGCTTAAAGAGACCTTTCAAAAAACCCTCATCACTGTTTAAATCAGTACACATGGAGAGGAGTCAACAATAACACGGATACAAAATGATTTGCAAATTACTCAGAATTTATTTGGAAATTATTACTCTTTCTTAAAGACAAAATCTTTTCCTGAGAAAATGCAATTACTTTTTAATGAAAACAGTATTTCCAGAGAAGACTGAATCTTCTAGGATAAGCTGCAGCTTTACTTACGGAAAACAAAACAAAACAAAATGGAAAAATGTATAATCTTTTCCAAAACAATTTTTTTCTCATACTCCTCCAAGCCTTGCATATAATGCAGCAGCCTCACAGTGGTCAGTCTCATTTCAGTAAAAGTCACTTCATTCTTTCTTTACTTCCAGACATATCTGTAGATAAAGTGGTTTTCTAGGAATGCTCTAACCATCTGACTTTCCATGGTTCAGACTGTTTAATTTCTTTCAAAGTTTAGTTTGGGGATTTTGGTTTTTTTTGGTTTTTTTTTTTCTTTTTCCTTTGCTTGGGAAGCACTGTGCTGTCATAGTTTACATGTCTTTGTGTCTGTAGGAAAACCTTTTCTTTATCGTGTTACACAAAAAAAAAAAAAGCCAAAACCAAAAGCATAAAGACCTTAATCATCATAAGACTTCATTCCCCCTCCCCCTTAAACTTCTTTTCATGTTTCCAGCAGACTTACCCAATCTGTCATTCGTCCAGCAGCTATGAGATATCAGCCATGGCTGATTTCCTCTTCCCATTCCACAACTAATATTTATTCTTTGGTTTAATTTCTGTGACCCATACTTACAGAAATTCCTAACATTTCTGCATTTGACTTCCATGCCCATGGTAACTGTGGGCCTAACTCTTAATTAACTATTCTGGTTCATTCAGCGCTGTCACTGTGACTGATGCAGACTGCAGGCAAACTTTGACCTTTAGAAGCCTGGGGCCGTTGTTGGCAGACAGAATATTAGTACAAAAAAATTACATTAAGTGGGAAAAGAAAAGCTGTTATTGCTTAGTAATCTAATTTGCTGAACCCTTGCTCTGACTAAGTTGCTGAGAAGCTCAGTAATTCTTCATCATGTTACAATAAATCATTTTACTTTCTTTTATATATCAGCTACTCTTAGGCCAGATAGCCTGAGCAGACAGACATGATGTGAGTTGTCCAAAGTGAGTCATTCCACCTGCTGTCTATTGTGTTGTTGGATGGTGCTTGTGGGCCCTGGTCCCTGTAGTGTGAAAGATGGCTGTCCTTGTTCAACATAAATTCTTTGTATTTATCCATTTTTTTCATTCTTTTCTTTACTTCATCTCAAAAAAAAAAAAAAGGAAAAAAATGTTAGAAATGTTGTTGAAGTAGTTGCTTGCCAGTTACGTGGGTTTATGTTGTACATTTACCTTCAGTTATGTCTGTAATCTAATTCCTTTTTAATTTAGTGTCGTTTAGGACAAATTCTGTTAATTTTCTTTTTCTAAATCATGGTGGTGTACTTCAAAACATAGATGTTTCCAAATGAATTGCTTTGCATTATATATGCAAGGGCATGGAGTGAACAGTTCCTTGTGGAAGAGTCACAGACTTGACACTAAATTAAGAAATCAAAATGCCACTATTCCCCACAGGAAACACACGTTACTATTTTTAAGATGCATCTTTCCTATAAGGTGTGCAACTGTTTACATTTGGGAATGTTCAATAACCTAACTTTTCTCAAGTCTTACTTCCAAGTACAACTTTGTCCTGAACTACATTAAAGAATTTTGTTTAAAAAAAATAATTAACTCATAAAAAGCACATCAGGCCATAACCAAGAGCTGTCCTTTTCCATTTCAGGACATTCACTGAACAATGCCAGGGATACAAGTGCCATGGATACTCTACCGCTAAATGGTAATTTCAACAACAGCTACTCATTGCGCAATGGAGACTATAATGACAGTGTGCAAGTTGTAGACTGTGGACTAAGCCTGAATGATACTGCTTTCGAGAAAATGATCATTTCAGAATTAGTGCACAACAACCTGCGGGGCAGCAGCAAGAACCACAACCTGGAGCGCACGCTGCCGGCCAAAGCTGTGATTGGCGGGAGCAGTAGCGAAGATGACGCCATCGTGGCAGATGCCTCATCTTTGATGCACAGTGACACCCCTGGGCTGGAGCTCCACCACAAAGAGCTTGAGGCCCCGCTCATTCCTCAGCGGACTCACTCCCTTCTGTACCAGCCCCAGAAGAAAGTGAAGACTGAGGGAACGGACAGCTACGTCTCACAGCTGACAGCCGAGGCTGATGACCACCTCCAGTCCCCCAACAGAGACTCTCTTTACACGAGTATGCCCAATCTCAGAGACTCTCCGTATCCAGAGAGCAGCCCCGACGTTGAAGAAGATCTTTCTCCCTCCAGGAGGAGTGAAAATGAGGACATTTACTACAAGAGCATGCCAAACCTAGGAGCTGGCCATCAGCTTCAGATGTACTATCAAATCAGCAGGGGTAATAGCGACGGCTATATAATTCCCATTAACAAGGAAGGATGTATTCCAGAAGGGGACGTTAGAGAAGGACAAATGCAACTAGTGACAAGCCTTTAATAGTGTAGCAAAGAAATATTAAAGGCCACATACAAGTATTAAAAAGACTTAATTGGCCCCATGCAGGCTCCCTCATATCTGCTTGAAGAGACAATTCTGTTGACCCTGTGGTTCTCCAGTAACGGGGATGACTGGACCTCGCAGTTCTGTGAATTTTTATAAAACAAAAACTTTGTATATACACAGAGTATACTAAAATGAATTATTTGTTACAAAGAAAAGAAATACCAAACAAGGTATTTTAAGATATCTTCTGCTGCTGAATTTAACAAAATTGTGAAGAAAAAAAAAAAAAGATAAATAAACACTTCCCAGCCATTTTACTGCAGCAGTTTGTGAACTAAATTTGTAAATATGGCTGCACCATTTTTTTTTTCTAGGCCTACATTGTATTATATACAAGGCGTAGGCTCTAAAATCCTGTGGGACAAATTTACTGTACCTTACTATTCCTGACAAGACTTGCAAAAGCAGGAGAGATATTCTGCATCAGTTTGCAGTTCACTGCAAATCTTTTCCATTAGGGCAAAGATTGAATACATGTCTAACCACTAGCAATCAAGCCACAGGCCTTATTTCATATATTTCCTCAACTGTACAATGAACCGTTCTCATGAAAAAAAATGGCTAAAGAAATTATATTTTGTTCTATTGCTAGGGTAAAATAAATGCATTTGTGTCCAACTGAAATATAATTGTCATTAAAAAATAATTTTAAAGAGTTTGAAGAAAATATTGTGAAAAGCTCTTGGTTGCACATATGTTATAAGCTGTTTTTGTTACACTCTGTTCATAGTACGGTAGTATGTTTAAATGCAAGTTCTACCCGTTTTCACTTATTTTTCACTGTAAACAGTGTTCTGCTTTGACAAGTTAGTTTTTATTCTTACATTTTGAATTTTTATTGCCAAAAACCATAATTTGGGGGAAAATTGTTTTAAAAGCCAATTATGCCAAACCTTGCACAAATTTGATATAGCTAACGAAGATTGTAACTCAATTCCCTGTTCATTCTTTAATCAATCCAGGGTTGGGTGGTAAGGGGTAAAGGGGACACTGGACACTTCTCACAAGCTTTCTCGTGAATAAAAGGTGCCTGTCCTTTAAAAAAAATAAATAAAACATAACTATTACTCGTCCATATTCCTTCTGCCTATATTTAGTAATTAATTTATTTTATGATAAAAATCTAATGAAATGTAAATTGTTTCAACAAAATTCTGCTTTTTTCATCCCTTTGTGTAAACCTGTTAATAATGAGCCCATCACTAATATCCAGTGTAAAGTTTAACACCTGTTTGACAGTAAATAAATGTGAATTTTTTTCCAAATAGGTAAAATGTGCATTATTATGTACGAAGCATAATTGGCATCAGCAGTCCTTCGACCCAGCTGTATCCTGCTTAGACTGGCTTCTTTACATTTCATGATTTAAATGTTGAGAATACAATAGAAACTGTATAGCTCTACAGAATAGAGGTCATCTTACCTATTCATTACTCCAGTCACAACTGGATAAGATCAAACTCAGACATAGCAGGGTCATTAGGAAAATGTACTGTAATTTCATAATTTACGTAACTTTTAAGTAGGCATCTGTACTGAAATTAAAAATAAGGTGGTAAACACCAGTATCATAATCTTGGCAACAGTAATTAGCAGTTAATTATTAGTGATGAAGATACATTGTTGCAGTGGGAAAGACATGAATAAGCATTTGGATAGCACTCTGAGCGCTATCTAAATAATTAATCCATCATGGCACTGTTTTGAGTTAGATAAATAAGCATGACTGTCCCTATTTTTATCAGATCAGAGAACTGCAGAAGGCAGCTGATGCCCAAGATGTTATTGACCAAATCAGTGGTACAATTGGAAGTCTGAGGTCTTTGTTTTGTTGATTCCCAGGCCTCTTTTGTCCCTCTCTACCAGGGCCTCTCAAAAGATAACGCCAAGGACTTCATTTGTCACCACTCCCAAAACTGTATTCTTCAAAATAACTCTAAAATTAATGCCTCGTCACCACAGGGGCCACCACTTCACATGTGGCAGCTGTGACTACAGGTACGTTAACAGCAAATATTCACTTGAAAGGTATCAATTGTTACCTTCTAATGCATTGGAATATGTAAAGTCCATTTGGAAAATAAAGCAATGCATTTTGAATAAGTTCAGATTTTGGAAGAGAGTTTTTGGGCAAGACTTCCTGTGTTGAGACAATTCAAAATGTAAAAATAATAAAATCTAGGTTGAGATGGAACCCTGGGGTTCAGGTAATAATCAGGACTGACACTGTAGCAATTGTTCTTGAAGAAAAAGGTATCTTCAGTGCTCACCCTACTAGTAACTCTTGCTGTTCCTTAACAGTTAAAAGTTACTATGTTTGCAGTTCCAGTCACTGGAACACTTACTTAAAATTAACTTGGAAACTGTTTAGCTCTGTTGAGTAGAGATGCTTTAAAAATCTGAAGTCTCTACGAAATAAGAAATTGTTCTGATTCAGGGTATACAGCAGGCTCTTCGGAGCAAAAATTATTCCCTTGGTCTGTCTGGCAACTTAAAAGCATACTTGCTGCCTTCTACCTAGGAAATCGTGTCTTAGGGATTTAAAAATTGTGGAGCTCAAGTAATTACAGTACACATGACCTAATAATGTCACCAGCTTCCAACAGAATCTTCAACCCTAGTTCAAGCAAGTACTCCTTTGTGTCTAACTAAAGGTGGCAAAACTACATACTGGAAGAAGGTTTGTAGCATTGTGATCTTAAATATATAGTCAATGGCAAATGTAACAAGTATTCATAAAACACAAAAAATGTAGCTGATGAACCTAAGATGAACCAGCTGAACCTAAGTATCATAAGGGAATTCTTTCGTTAGCTTCTTTGTAACGTAGATGTTGCTTTTTAGTGAGCCTGATTTTTTTAATGTTACGCTAGTGAGTGTCCTGTGTTCAGCTAGCAGCCTATTCCTTGCCAAATTTCTGTTAGTGTAACTTCTCGGTGTAGTAGGTTACAGTATAATTATATAGCCGACAGCTTACTGTAATTTCTTTATGTTCTGTTCTCACGTTCCTGCCATCTTGTCTTGGGATCAGAAGGACAGAAGAATTCAGAGGAAGAGTTCGAGAATAGCAAAATAATGACAGCAGAATTAATGGAAACAAGTGCTTCTTCAGGGTCATCAGTTAACCAGTTCCTATGATGGTGCCAAGGATATGCTGTTATTTTAGGCACTGTCTTTCAGAAGAGCTGTAATTTTCTTATGGCTAGTAATCTCCTGTTAGTATCAGTGTTAACCCTACTGGCTCAGTTCAATTCTTCCTTGTAACTTCAGTCCAGTTATATTAATTCCTACAAAAGATTAAATGGGATGTGCATTTAGTGAACTGTTGTATAATGGTGCTATGCATTGTTTAATATAAAATACATCTCAATTCTACATAAGTGAACCATAACATGAAGAAATGCAACACTGGTAATACCTTTATAGTTAAAATTAACCTTTATCTGTGAATTCTACAATACACCTTTGCTTCTTTAAAATTTGAAATGAAATTACTAATAAAGTTTACATATATTCACTTATGTAGGCAATAAAAGGTGTTTCAAATTGACTTAAGTTATGGATAAAATATGTGTCATATTTTTATGTCCTAATTTTTAAGGAAATTTTTTTCTGAACCACTCGGACATTAACAGACCAACAAAACCCAACCTAAGCAGTCTCTGTGTACTGTTGTTATCCCACTTTGCCTCAAAACTAACTAAACTTGTCTTCTAGACTTGATTATATGACAATATATGCTAGTGTAAAGGTTTTTTTTTCCCTTGAATAAAAGCATCTTTTAAATCAAAAGAAGCTACAGCTAGACAATTATATATATGCAACATCTTCACTGGGGTTTTAACTGGCTTAATTCTAGGGGACAGTGGAGAATGAAAAATGCTGGAAGGCCAGCAGTGATTCATCAGTTCCAACTCAGCTGTACCTGTAGCAAAGACACTTATGCCAAGGAGGTCACAGTGAAGTATACCTTAGATTTTTTTAAAGTAGATGGTGACAGTCACCCTCCATATTTATGAAGAGCATTGCTGCCATTTCAGTAAGCATGTGCTGTATGGCTGCACTGTGAGATAAGAATCCCAGTTTTATGAATGCGCTGGTGTGCGGGCTCTCTGCTCCACAACTACACTACAGGTTGGAATCCAGCTTTGCACTGACATGGGCAGAAAAATTAATAACACCACAGCCCTGGAAGCAAGAGATCTGTGCCTCTTATTTATATAAACAGTTAATTAGTAGGAATTCAATTAATGGATCCAGCTCAATCACATGGCTCCAACAAAAATCTGGAGTAAAGGTTCATTAGGACCTTGTCTATTTCAATAGAGTGGGGCTTTTTAGTAAAATCCTCCATGTGGTCTTTAGGTAAAATCCTCCATGTAGTCTTTAGAACGACAACTTCCAAATCCTTTTATTCATGCAGGATAAATTCTCAATGGTATTTCATTAATTCATGCTTAAGAGCATTAATATCTCTTCTTACTGTATTATGTCATCATTAATCTCAGCTGCTCCCCATCAAAGTTCCTGGCATGTGAAATGGATCACACCATGGTGCAGCCTGAATGGTTATAAATGCTACTGAAAATCAAACGAGCCTCAACTCAGAAGCAAGGAGATTTTAAAGGACCATTCCATATAATGCACCAGCTGCTGAAGTCATCAGTCCAGGATCCCAGGCGGGGGAAGTCACAGTTGCAGAAATAACATTAGGAATAGGTAGCTCTATCAAGAAAATTCTATAGCAAAGTTTATGTAATTCTTAACTGTTTCTTGCTTGGGTGTACACCTCCTTCCTTGTGTTGGAGTAGGAGCCCTGGCACGAAGTAGACTTCGCACTGCCAACCAGTTAAAAGCTTCAAGACAGCAAAGCTGAGCACAAAAACATCTACGCGCATTAGAAGTCTGATCCACAGATAGATAGGAAGCAGCAGGTTAGTATCTGTACAGGCTTTTCTAATGGAGAAGCAGTAGCTCTGAATAAGCAGCACTGAGTAGCTATCTGGAATAACTAACTGTTCCAGTCCTCTTATAGCATAAGAATTGCTTTAAAATAGCATAATGCTGCTGAACTTTTGGCCTCTATGATTGCTTAAGAGAGTAAGTCCCAAAGGTTAACGAGGTTTGCATGAAAATAATTCATTTTCATTCTCTTTAAATATACCATTTTTCTTCCTATTTGCATTAGCAGGATAAATAGAAACTTCTTAAGTTGTATTCTTTATACCACTCATTGGTTTAAATACTTCCCCTATTATTTGACTCCTTTCTAAACAAATCCTTGTTTTCAGCCTCGTCTGTCTGTTTCTCTAGTCATTTAGTTGCCAGTCCACAGAATTACTTTTTGACAATATGCTCTAAGAGACAGGGCAAGAACAAAATTATGGGTGAATCATTATTGTTGGTTTATGGATGGAATTGTATTATCTATTGTGTGCCCCGCCCCCCCCCCCGTAGTCTCACATCATCTTTTGTTTTCATAATATCCCTTCACAACACACTTTTGTCCACTAATCTGATCATAGCAAGTAATAGCCTAAATAGTTATGGTTAATTTAGAACCCTGCAAAGCCTAGAAACACTTCCAATTATTCCCCTGAATGTGTCCCCAACCTTGTATTTGTCATTTGCATTTCATCTGCATCACACATCACACTGCCCATTTACTCACTCTGTTAACCCAGGTCATTCACAATCTTCCCCAGTTCTGATTAACTGAAATAACTCTCTGTTAACAGCAAACAGTGCCACCTTTCAGACAGCATGCTCATCTTCTTTTTCAGATAGCACCAGTTTGAATAGAGTGTTGGGGCACTACCATTAGCCTTTTGCCATGATAAAAAATTTGACCATTTAATCCTGCTCTACCTCTTAGTTTCTAATGCAAAACTACTTTAGCTCTCACTTCCTCAATACTGGTTTCTTTAAATGGCTTTTTGGTAGGGATATTTTTACAAGGATTTTTTTTTTCCTCTATTAAATCCAAATAAATTACATCAACCATTCCCTCTACTCTCAGCCACTGCACAACTGACTTTATTTTAGCATGCTAGAGAGGCACGATTTTCTTGCCCTGAGCAGTTACATCTCTTTTTGCAATATTTCCTCTGCACTATGTGCTTAAACATGGAGCTGCTAGATGTCAGACCCTAAAAGCTCTTGACTGTTCAAAGTGAAACTTAGGTGGAATTTAGGCACTGAAATCCCCAGGGTACATCATCCACAGGTAAAATGGACATCACTTCAGGGACAGAATTAATTCCTA